AGAATATAAAACCAAAAAAAAATTGTGATGTCTATGTATTTTTTTATGCATTTTTAGGGTTTTTTCTGTAACGCCCCGACTCTCAGGTGGTAATTTTATGGCTTTGATGTTCATAAGTTGCAAGGTCTACTCGACGAGTTGGATGCCCTGACTCGTCGAGTAGGAGCGGTTTGGGCCACGTGTTTAAGTGACCTACTCGCCGAGTCCAAGATAGGACTCGACGAGTAGGAGCTGAAGGATGAAACCCTAATTCTCGGGGTTTTGCACCATATTTAAAGGATCATAAGCCTCCTTCAGCCCCCTTGCAGCCTCTTGAGAGTCCAGCAAACCCTAATCCGTGTGTGTGCTTCATTCTTGGGTGTTTTAAGCTTTGGAAGGTGGATCTTTGTAAGAAGAACTTGGAGAGCAAGTGGCTAGAAGCAAGGAACGTGTGGGGATCTGATATCTACCTCAGTTAGCATCTTTTGGAAGGTATCAAGTCATTACCTTGGCCTCATTTCATTCTAGATATAATTTGGTTAAAGATTAGGGATTTTCTAGCATAATAAGAAGCTATTCTTGGGTATGAGCTCAAATCTGAAGTTTTAACTTCAGATCTGAACTCTCTTTGGTCTCCAAGTCCATAAAGCTCTCAGCTTTAGCAAGTATGAACCTCTCCTTAAGTGTGAAACTCCATTTCAAGCGTGGTTTTGATATTATAAGACTTTAGAGCCCTGCATGCACGTAAAGTTTGCAACTTTACGTGATAAACATGCATTGGGAAGTTGGATCTGCATTTTGGAACCTTAAAGTGGCTTAAAAAGCATTTGAATGGATAGTGGACTGAAGGGACTCGGTGAGTTGCATGGTCAGCTCGGCGAGTCCAATGAAGATTGTCATGCAAGGACTTCTGCATGGACTCGGCGAGTCAGTGGGGTGACTCGGCAAGTCAACTTGGGTTTTCCCGAAGTTTGGACACGCTTGAACTCGGCGAGTTGCGGGAAACTTGATGAGTCAGTGGGGGGTTTTTCACGACTACTCGAGTTCTGGAAGGACTCGACGAGTTGGGTCAACATGGATTGTTGACCTTGACTTTGGCTAAGGGTTATCTATTTGACTTTTGGGGCATTTTAGGAAGTTGGAAATTTATGAGTATGGATCATTGGTAGTTATAGGTGTTGGAGTTGGGGGCAGCGTTTCGGGAGCGCAATTTTGTGGTTCAGTTCGACATTGCAAGGTGAGTTATCCTCACTATTTCAACAGGGTCTAAGGCACCAAGGCCGAACCTTTATCTAATTTGTATCCGGGTATTTGCTCGATATGTTTATTGATCTGCTAGATCTGCATCCTGGTAGTTAGAATGGTATTATGTTCAGTGACCTGGTCTAGGTCGGTATCCTGGTATATAAGATGATGTTATGTTAGTGACTGGTTAGGTTGGTATCCTGGTTATAGTATGTGGCTATGCTATATGACCTGTTAGATCAGTTTGTTGTCTATAGACTATTATATGATTATCTGTTATATGTGTACATGGTTGTTTGATTGGGGGTTGGGTTGAGGCGGTCCTGCTTTGTGCTGAAGGCCAACATACCCAATGAGCGGTCCGGATAGGCTACAAGCCTTGCGAGGCGGTCTAGACGTGCCGAAGGCTCGGAGAACGGTCCAGATAGACTGAAGGCCTGCGAGGCGGTCCGGTCAGGATGAAGGCTCATTATACATACTGTAGACTCAGAGAGTGGACCAGGTGGACTGAAGGCTCGGTGCGGGCAGACCAGTCACACTGTAGACTCGAGATGCATGGCTGTTCTGTTTACTTATGTTATATGTTATGGTTATATCGGTATGGCGTTGTATTTTGGGGGTAACTCACTAAGCCTTCGAGCTTACAGTTTCATTTTATTGTTACAGGTTCAGCGGATGACCACAGGAAGGCGAAGGCGTGACCGTACACTCCCTCGATTGATGATTTTGATTTCTGGGAACTCTAATGTTTAAACTATTTTGAAAACAAATTGTAATAACTGAATGGTTTTAAATGATTTAAAAAGTTTTAAACTGGCTTGAATTTTATGGATGTTATAAGTTGGTATCAGAGCATTGGTTTGAGTGAATTGGAGGAACACTCGTGTGAATCCAGTCTCAAATCAAGGAAGAATTTTCAAAATGATTTTTAAATGGTTTTCAAAATAAGTAAAAGGAGGATACAAGTGTACGATCAGCCGGAGCCAGTAAGTAGACCCCAAAATACCATACGGTTATTTGATTAGGTGATATGATAGAACAACATGTTAGTACTAGGCTAGGGATCTTCGGGAATTGCATGATAGAATTGCCTGATTACATGATGCCTGCTAGCCTAGGGTTTTCTTTATATGAGATTGACATCATTACTGTAGTTACTTGTGTATGTATCGCGGCTGTACATAATTAAGATCTTATAGCCCGAGAATGTTTGATTTGGCCTTATGTTCTGTTCATATTGATTAGGGCTTAGGGTAGGATCAGATATTCGAAAGTCTATAGGATCCAACGTTATGTATTGTTAGCATACACTAGTGCTGCAGGGTTGGTGGAAGTTTCATGGATGGGTGAGTAGAGAGAGGCCGGGAGGCCAGTTACGAGATATTTAGCATTCCTCTAGGAGTGAGGAATGAGCGCTCGCTACGATTATGTATATTGTTAGGGCGTTGTGATGATACTTGAGACAAATATGGGTAGGTTTGGAAGGCAATGGCGGTTATGGTGGCAGAAGAAAAAGGAACGGGTGACATTGTATAATCATTTATGATTATACCAAACCTGCCGTGCCGGTACGTCGGAGGGTTAGAGCGGCAAATGTGAAATACGTGGCTGAGGTTGAATCTCAAGATATCTATTTTATTTTTAATCTCAATGGAACATCTCTCTCTCTCTCTCTCTCTCTCTCTCTCTCTCTCTCTCTCTCTCTCTCTCTCTCTCTCTCTCTATATATATATATATATATATATATATATATATATATATATATATATATATATATATATATATATATATATATATATATATATATGGAATTAGGTTAATGTATAAACTTTAGTTATTGTATGATTGTATAACCAATTTTGGACCAATCATCGTCTAGAGGCAAATTAACAACATTGAATAATATTAATTTAATAACCTAACATTACATTTCTATATTTATAGCAATTCCCCATATGTTTAATCGTTCTCCTTTTATTGCCTTCTACCTTTGTTTTTTAGATTTTTTTTAGAAGCAGCCATATTATCTCATATTTTACACGAATTTAAATGCACCCTATAATGACTAATGATCTAAAGGGTTATAATGAATTTTTATTCATTTGTTTATTATTTTGCATCTTACTTTTATTCTTAATTACCTTGAACATTTTTTTTTGTTGATTTTTCAAAATAAAGATAAAAATACCATATGCTATAATGGATAGATTTTTAAAAATAAAGATAAAAATTAAAAAATACCATATGCTATAATGTATAGATTTATAAGGTAGCATTTATTTAAAAAAAAAAATACAATCCTGCAATAGAAATGCAATGTCTTAATAAACAAATAAATGTACATGCATTGCTATTTCTAACACAAGAAGCATAAAAATTACACAGCTGCTTATTTTCTTGTTATCCTCTTCCAAAACATAAAAAGTTATAAACTTTTATTCCCTTTGTTTACAAGTGCATAGTCTAATAAAATAATAATGATTTTCCATTCTCTTTTCCTTTCCCTCCCTATGATAAAGATTTGATAACCAAATGTCAAAGTAGATGTTAATATACGGATATGAAGGATCATATATTTCCAATATCCACTTCCAGGGTCCATTTAAATTTAAAATTGGTCTAGTGACATATAATTGACGAATATTGTTAGTGGAAATATAGCGAAAATGAGTCTATAACATGGGAAAATCAAAGGTATGTCAAGCGTCCAAAGTAGTTAGACGTGACAATGGAACGAGTTTTGACCTTGATCCACTTCAAACTCGCGCAAAATTAATGGGTTTGGATCATATTTTATGATTCGTTTACCCATTAACGACCCATATCCATTAACCTTTTTATTAAAAGGGTCAGGTATGGATCATTATCGATCTGATCCGTTTATGACCCGTCCCGTCTAAAATTTTGAAATATAAATTAATTATTTATGAGTAATAATACATTTATCAATCTTCAAATAAAGGAGTCGAGGAGTTAGACTGTTAGATGTTCTACTTCAACTTCTTAGTTCAGTTACTAAGCCAAATGACCGATTGCAGTCGACTCCTAATATAACCGACTCTATAATCTTTTGAAATCGATATTCCACAATCAAGACGCAAGAGTAAGAAGAAAAGGTCTTCGGAAGAAAAGGCTGCAATCGAGTTATCGACATTCCACAATCATAATACATTGGAAAAGTTATAATGTTGTTTGGTTTTAGTGATCATGTTATATGTGTTTTAATGAATAATTATAGCCTAAACTTAATATTGTAAATAAGTCGGGTAAAAGGGTTGAAATCCGGTGGATAAAGGTATGGGTTTAATCATTCAAAACTCTGCGGGTTACGGGTCAGGTTTGGATTATCATTTGAAAATTGCTTAATGGGTTTGGATCCGCTCCATTGTCAGGCCTAAAAGTAGTTGAAAGTTGAAACAACAAAGGGTCTGATGTCTCAACAACATTTAACCAAATAAGAGCTCCTCACAATGAAAACATCTAATCCATGGATTCATACAAGAAAATTTTCAAAGTATTTAAGAGTTTGATGAGAAAGATTTCATCATCAAGCATCAAAGGGTGATGAAGGCCCGGGCATAGAGATGTGGTTGGAGGCGTTGCAAAAATCATCAGGAAAAAGTGCACCATTGGCATCCCACAATGATCTTTGTTTGAAGTGGAAGTGGAAGTGGAACCACCGAACCAGGGGGAGTCGAGAAGCAAATCTGGCGTGCAATATGATAAGAATGGAGAAAAGAAAACAGATAAATGAGAGAGAGAACAGAGATCTTATTCCAAAATCAAATCAGAGAAGCTCAGATGAGTGAGTCTTCCTGCCCAAGCTTCATACAGCCGAGTACATTCTTAGAAAACAAAAAGATGATCTCCCTCATTCATCAACATGACCTATATAATAAATCTATTCTCTCTAACAGAATCACCAACAGCCCCAATCATTCCCCTCCACTCCACGTGGCTTTGTGTAAACTTTCCATGTGCCAAATTTGTTAAATTGTTCCAGACTAGTGGGTCCCAGTAGCAACTTCCCTATCACAATACTTCATCATCATGTCATTGTCTTCTCTTTCCGATTGCTTACCACCAGTTTCATCTGCTGCTGCTCCTGCTTCCGCTTCCTGCTTCACTTCACACCACACAAAACAAATTTCATCAAAACAACTCAACCAATCATATTTATTATGACTAACTCACATCTTATTGCACGGCATAAATCGGCTAAATTCTAGAAATAGCAACCTACTTTCCATTTATTTGTGTATTATAGTGTCCTACTTTCATTTCTTTCACACCACAGAAGAAAAATAAATAAAAGGGAATTTCATCAAAAAGAATAAGGATATTCATATCATATTGATTGTTGTTCTAAATGATAGAGTTACTGGCACTGCACAAAAAATGAACAGAAAAAGGGCTAAATGCAAGATACAACAACCTACTTTCCCTCATTTGTATATAACAGCGTCCTACTATAAATCTGTGTTCATTGTACATTGAAATCTATCCAGTTATATAGTATTGTGCTCTTGTTAAGATATTCTACTTTGAAAAATCTACCTATTTATAGCAGTAAGAGTTGCTTCCTATTTGGATGAGTGGCTAGATCTGTCAATGTATAATGATGTAATAGAAAGAAATAAAAGTATGTTGCTATTTTCTTGCATTTAGACCTAAAGAATTGAAAGGTTCCAGTAGTGATGAATGATGATAAGCCTTTCAAGTTTCAACTTCCACCAACAGAATAACTATAAACTGATTTAAGCAAAACTCGATAACTGATCAGAACATGAAAATTTTGAAGTTGAAAGTGATACAGGGCTCAACACATATGAATTAACAAGAAAGAAACAGCAACATGCTTTCATTGATTTGTTTATTATAGCATATTCTACTTTCATCCCCTCCTATTCCTATAACAATTCTAACTGCTATAGTTGAGTAGATTTTTCAAATTATAATGTGTTTCTTGATAAGGAAGAAAAGAAAACTGAAAGTAGAATGCTAAAATTAGGTGATTTTTTCTTAATAAGACAAAAACTGCAATAGAAAGAAATGAAAGAATTATGTATCACCTGAAATTGCCTCGAGGGATTGATCATGATGTTCATCGAGTGAGTATATTCAGTGAAGACAGATACAGCAGAATGACCCAATGGTGACATGGGGTCCCCATAAGCCTCCCAATCCCAGTCATCATCAGATGAACAAGCAGCATCATTCGAATTGGAATTGGAATTCTTTGAATTTGAGGTTTTCAATGTCTGTGACTCGTAGAGCACCGCTTCCAACAAACCGATGTTTTCCTATTATGCGAGGGCAAATCCGACTTTTCATGACCAATCAGAGCGAATCTTCATATAGAAAAATATCACTCAAAACCACCACCACCATCATAGATGGGACATGATGGATTGGATCTTCTGATTCTTTTGGGAGGATGTGAAATCGGGAATAGGAGGGGAATATCGAGAAAATTGGCTCCGGGGATATCCAGGAGGCTTGGGGCAAATATCCTAAATTCTTCAACTCCAATGCTGGGATTTGGAAGTTGTTATTTGGCATGTGATGATGATGTATCTCCGTTTGGGAATGTGCCCAAGTGTTGTCGTTTAGTGTTTGGAGGGTAAATTGGTAAACCTGCACACTGTCGTCACTTTGGTTCTTGATTTCGTTATCTGTACGCCCGGGTAACTGATAACAAAAAGTAATCACATCACCATTTTAGTAAACAACGGAACATAACCGGTTATTCTGCATTTGGTATGCATTGGACTTGGACTAATGTCAATGGGAGAAATAAAAAAGTTGCAAATTTTTGTTCGCCTAATGCAATGCAAGAAATAGCATCGTACTTCCATTTATTTGTACACTATAGCATCTTAATTCCACTTATTTCCATCACAATATTCTACTTTCAAACTTTTTTCTTATTAAGGCATTAAACTTTATAACATCTCATGATTAATATGACATATCAAAGAAAAATAGATATATATATATATATATATATATATATATATATATATATATATATAACAAGTTCAAAATAAAATATGTTCAAGTGCTCAACAACTACATAAGTCTTTATCACCATCATAAGTTTAAAACATGCCCAAAATAATAGGTTGCTCTTACTCTTCTCCATATTCTTCTATAATACAACTTCTTCAAGGTTTTAGAAACTCATTGGCTCCTACAACTTCAGTAATAGCCTACAGGAAGTGTTGTCACAATAAATTATCTCTGTCTGGTCTGGACTCTCAGAGGAAGTGCTTAATGAACAAAGGTTGTTTCATCTTTCGGCTGAATAAATAGTCAGAATGACAGTAAATCACCCTTCTGTTAGTGCTCAATGAAAAACGATTGTCTATTTGGTAACCAACAAAGAAATTATTAATTTATGAACTACTCTGATAATTAAAAAAAAATTGATATACATAATAATATGTGATCTTAAATACTTGATATAACTAATTCTGAATGTTTTAAATACTTACATAGAACATATTTTTACATAAGTAGTTATATTGGCTCATAAAAAAAAAATTAATAACAAATTTGATTTATCAAATTCTAAATTTCAAAGTTTAAGGTCACACACACACACACACTAGACTATCACATACTTAAATAAAAATATATTTGAGCAATTAACAGCAAGCTTGGGGAACTGGATAAGAGAAACAAAGGAGGGCAAATTTGTATAAGGTTAGGACATAATGGGGTCTCATTTCCCTGACTTTCTCTATTAAGTCAAAAAGAAAGAAACATTAATATATAGCTTCCTGAATTAAGTCATGTCCCCATCAACTTTATTAAGTAAAAAAGAAACACATCTTAGGTACCATACTTCCAAGCATTCTTATCTTAGCAAGGATGTGAAGGGCACACTATTGTTTGGTAAAGGAGATGCCTTTTCAAGATTTGGCCACCTCAATGTCTAACAAGTACTTGAATTACTAGAAAAAAAAACACATCCATCCATTGTCATGATGACATCCATATGAGTTATTCATTTAACTAATGAAGTTTTTGGTTTTCACGACCATTTTGATGTTCAAGGGGCAGATCTGATTTTCTGTGAAAGTTGCTATTCCTTGCTTCTTATATATATATATATATATATATATATATATATATATATATATATATATATATTATTGGATATAATGAAAACAAAAACATATGTTAAAAAAAAACATATTTGAAAGTTACATAAATTTCATGAAAGCTTGCTTCTTAAATCAATTCCCTGCAACCCTTTTGTCCTCTAACCTGCTAACTTATTTGAATCCCTAGGCATTATATATAAGATAATAGAGATGTCAAGGGCATTGAACCTTCATATGCAAAGGTCACATGTTTCGTAAATATGATATAACAAAAGCATCACTTTTGCTTCCTCATAAAAGTAAAGTCAGGGAAATCTATACATTTTGCTAGTTGGATCGGATTTTCCTACATGTGATGTGGGTATGTGAAATGATCTCCTTGAAGAAAAATTACTTATGGAATCTCCTTAGGTATTTTACCTTAGTATATTATAATGTAGGTCATAAGCATCTAAACAACTCCAATATAAGTTAGAAAGAACAATTCAACAACTTTCATACACAATAAAAAAAATATATATATATCCAAGAAAAGATAGCAATATCAAGAAACATAGCCCAAACAAATTTGTTTGCCATTAACCATGACTTATCATCATATAGCCAAACCAACCCAAGGGAAATACATGATGAAATTATACACCAAGTATGGAAAGACATAAATGTGGGTAAGTATAATCATTCAGCTCATGGCACAATACAAATCACTATATCAGAACGTGTATAGTTGAAAGATATAAACTAAAACAGAACATCAAACATGAGAGTTACTATTGCCAAACTTATTTTCAGATTTTCTTAAAATCTTTTTCACAAGTGCTGAATGCATATGCTTAGCAAGATGTCTTTGTATGTATATGATATTAAATGTGTGTGTATATGCATGCATACTTACATATGTGCACTTGTTGTGAAGAAGATTCAAAAGAAGCCAAGGAATAAGTTTGGCAGCAGCCACACACACACACACACACACACACCACATATATATATATATATATATATATATATATATATATATATATATATATATATATTATATATATAACATAAACTTATGATCACCAATATCAATTTACATTCACAAAAGAATATCAATGTTTGCAACTTGGATATAGCAGCTAAGGAGGATTGGAATTTAGAAAAAAAAAAAGTAATTGGGAAACAAGTAGAGGAATAGAGGCATGCCCTCAACAGCCATGTGTGCCCATTTGTTCCCCATTTTAGCATGGAGTTCAATGATCCGGCGTTCCTCTTCTGGTGTGTAAATGCAACTTTTTTGAGATCAGGTCTTAAGTTATTTGCCCACTTTAAACGACAGCTTTTACCACAACGAGAAAGCCCAGAGTGCTTCTGAATTCCCCTCTCCATTTTGTTCACATAATCCACCAAAATTGCATCTTCAGCAGATGTCCATGGACCTTTTTTCAGTGTCCCATTTCCTATCCTGTTTCTTTCACTGCTGGCTTCATCATTCAGTGAATTTATGCAATCCATGGACATTATTCTCTCCTCACTTTCACTTGTCATGTTGCTCATCTTCATAACACACACAAAACAAACATATAGCTATCTATCAGCGGACTGGAACTGTGGAAGTGGAATGCAATAATATATATGGAAAAATCTTTCCAAATACTAAAAAACTTTTAAAAGGTGTAATAAAGTATGCAGGAGATTTCGTTTTAGAACTTCTTCTGCAGCTTCAAGTTATAATAATCACTTTTGATGAAAAATCTTGATTAGTAACAAAGCAATAGATAAAATAAGGGTATCTAAGTAATTTTTCTCTACCCGTTGATTTTATGATTAATTTTGTTGCTGCTACTTGCTAGCTGGTATGAAACTAGAAACCGATCATTGTGGCTTGAAGTTAAATAAGCACTTTCCAAAAGCCCATCCAAACAGCCTCTAATACTAAGGAACTATTGTAATAGAAGATGAATTCATCATGCCAGGATTGAATACTCAACAGATTTCATTAACACAATATCTAAAACCCACAATTGCCTCTGAAAACTGAATAAAAATGACAAGAAATAATACAGCATCAAATAAGAAATGGACCTATCACCTATCATATAGAGGCTCTTCACCTCACCCCAAACCCCACAAAAAACAGTAGCACACAGATTTATTTTCTAACATCAAAAATCATTTCCAATTTAAGCAATTAAACTACTCTATCAAACCCACATGAATAATAATTTTGCTTAGTACGCATCCTAATATTTAATATCAACATAATTAAATAAAGACCGGAAGAATCGAGCTTACTATAAGTGAATAAACTCACTCACACAGTTTTACATCTATATAAAGAAAAAAAAAATCTGAAATTGGAAGGCAAGCTAGGGTTTTACCTTAACGAAGAACGCTGGATTGCTGAAGAAATATCAATTCCTCGTCATTGGACAAACAATAAATGGTAAAAGGAATTACGATGACTTCAATATCAACTAAAATCCTCAATTCAAACACCTGATTGCTGAATTCAAACCGTAAAAGGAATCTCTCTCTCTCTCTCTCTCTCTCTCTCTATATATATATATATATATATATATATATATACACTGTTGGCATCTTTCTTTTGTTCATCCACGTCAGCATCGCCATTCTTTTCTTGCTTTTCCTCTTCAGCATCCATGTCAGCATTTTCTTCAACTGAATTCGTGTTTTCATCTTCACCATTATGTTGACTTTTCATATGAACTACTGAGTGAGCCCGTGGTCACTTTTTCAATTGGTTTTGTTACCTTTTTATTTTTGACATTTTTGAATGTAAAAAATATCATTCTAACAACTAAACAGCCAATCACATTGGCAGCAACAAAATTGGTAAAAGGGTACAAACGTCATTTGCAACCTAAAATCAAAATAATTTGATAAAAGTGCTCCCTAAATGAAACATGCAGGGATTATTAAAACATATATGCTCATAATGAAATTTAAAAACATGTTACTCATTTTTTATGAAAGTTGCTAAATATTGCATTTAACCCTTCTTTATTTACCAAAGCCATCTTATTCTATAGTAACTCTATACAACCATGCCTATATCCTTGCCTAATTAGGCAACAAAATTAAAATTTTAACAAGCAATGTCTCTTTCTAATTTGTTAAAACGCCTACATTATGTTGGTCGCAAGGACTTTGAAAGAGACAGTAACAGGTAGAAATGTTCTAAACCTGGACCGCGTGGTTATAATTTGTTGTTTTTGTCACTGTTGTCTTGGGATTAGTGTCAGCATAACTAAATCTAAGGTCTCGGGTAGATCACCAACACCATCAATCTTCAAGTGTTCATCTTTCCTATATCCCAAGCACAATGAATGATGGTAAGGTTTCAACCAAATTGATCAGTAATGTATAATACCTCATAGATAGTTATGTGCCAGACTATATTTTACCTGGTCTGTCATTACAACAAAATTCTCACTCACATCCTTGCAAAAAAAATTTTATTGCAGTTCTCTTTTAGTGCACACACCGGTATATGATGAACTTTCACTTGGTTGTCTAATAAAACATGCTCTTAACATAAAAGCGATTATTTTATCCTTTGTGTTTCCTGTTGCTACCACCTGATTTCTGATGGATGAAAAAAATTTCAACACCCTTAGCCTCCAAATCATTGACATGTACACTAATATGATGTAGAAGTAAAAGTAGAATCTATATAGAGAAAAAACAAAATGAAAATTATTAATAAATAAAATATGAAAGATATAACCAATAATAACTGAAAATAGTAACAACCTCTTTTATTAACTCAGTTAAGCAACATAAATATCTTTCCAAGAAAATATATGTTGCAATTTTATGAAAGTGGAATGGAATGGAATGATAAAAGAATGGTATTCATAGAATAAATGACACCATTCTTACCAACATCCCCTCTATGAACATGTAATGATGAATACTCACCCATAAGTGGAAATTGTTTCACAACATAAGTCCATGTCTTCGAAAAGAAGCAGGAACTCCATGGCCTCTGCAAAACCATTAAATCCCAAATTCAATTAGGCCTAGTAAAAAATTACTCTTTTACCCCTGTTTTCAACTTCCAGCAAAGTAAATTACATAAAAAAAAATAACAAAGCTATCTCTTCTAAAGTCTTTCTGCCATAAAAATCAAATTTTTTTTGTTTATAAGCAAAGAAAAGAGAACAATCTAAAACACAAAGCAAAGAAAAAACAACAATCTAAAACACCATAAGGCCTGAAAAAGCTTGATTTGAGGATTTCTAAGAAGTTTTGCTTTGCTCAAAGTGACCTTCATGTTTTTCTGTTATGTCACCATATAAGGATTTGATTATGTATGGAGTGAAGAACTTACTTTTGTAACCTGAAAGGAAGTCTGAATCGAAGGAATGTTATTGCTTCCATCTCCTTTCTGTGTACTGGTTCATATACCCTAAAACATCACAACCACCTAAATTATATTGGGAAAAACACAGAATAAGAGAGAAATATAAGCAAATGAGCATAAGAAAATTGTAATACCATCTATTGCAGTCTACGTGACCTGTGCCATCATCAAGCAAAAATGAAACATCGGTAACCCTCTCAGCTTTGTTCAATACCACCTGTTTCGTTTTTCATCGGGCCATCACGAAAATGAATTCCATCAAATTGGAACTCTGATGAACAAACGAAATACGTAGCCAGAAGCGAACAAGGAAATCAATTGCATGGAATTGTAGAGGCGTGATGGAGAGAAAAAAAGAAATACCTAGAACCAGAAGTGAAAAAAGAAAATTAATTTCGCAACCGACCTCTATCTATCATAAAATCGAAGCAGTGGCGACTTCATCTTCAAGAGACGGAGGCACAACAGGTGGAGGAAAACATATTGGAACTTTTGTGTAAGCATTTCTATGAGAGTTGAAATCGCCAATTGAGAGGAGATACAAATAGAGAGAGAGAGAGAGAGAAGTGGCGAGAGAGCAGTGTGGTGACAATTGGGAGGATAGAATAAGGCAAGGCGGTAGGAATGAGAATGGTATGTGGAAGAGATCGATTGGAGCGATAATAGGCGGAAGATGACAAATTAGGAAGAGATAGAGATAAGGGTAAGGTAGTGGGAATCAGAACGGTATGTGGAATCGAATCAAAACCACCTGAGAAACCCAAGAAAGAAGGCAGCGAACAGCGAACATCTAAACCAAAACCACCCTCTTGAATCCTTGTTACTATTCATAAAGACCATGCCCATTAATAGAGTATATAAATATAAATGATTCATTGTTACTTTCTCATGTATTGCTACACCTAGTTGCTAATTATTTTTAGTTACAAATTTGTCCCTGAAGTCAAGTTAGAAATATCAGTTATTGTCTGAAAGTCCTATGTATTTTGACCCTTTTTTTTGTGAAAAGACCTCTTCTTTTAACAAAAAAGTCCTGCTTGTTTTTTGGTTAAAAATGGTCAAAATACACGTGACTTTTTTTGAGAATAACCTAGGATTGATATTTTAGTGTTAACATTTTTTTTATTGTGTACAAAAAATAATTACAAGTTGACAATTTTTGGGTTCTCAAGTGAAGAGGAAAAAAAAAAACAAAAAGACACTGTAAGTTGACTCTTTTTTTTTGTGTAGAAAAGTAAAATTAAAAATGTAATTGATTGTTTGAAACTAAAATGCACGCCACAAGTGATTTACACAAGAAGCGTCTAGATTCGGGGTGTTGATCGGGTAATTTTTTCGGGGTTTCGGGGTAATTCAGATTTTTCATGTTTAAAAAAATACCCGTTACCCGACCCAAATTAAATTTGTGGTAATTCGGGTTTTGGGTAATTGGGGGTGGATCGGTTCGGGTCGGGTTTGGGTATTCGGGTATTACCGAAATATATAATTTTTTTGAATTGCACCTGAAAATAAATTTAATGAAATAAAACCGTCGTGCTTTATAGTCTTGTTTATATAATACAAACGAGGCATAAACGAAGTTACTCAAGCTTTGAACATTGAGATTTTTTAGTCAATAATACTTGAGATATCAAGCACTTTTTAACAACTTAATCTAATCTAATAAGATGTTAAAAAAACAAATACTTAAAGATCTTAATGTAAAAGTTAAAAATGTTTAAGATAATTGTAGTCCATAAGTTTTCGTCAAGATAATGAGTTTGTTAGTTGCATAAAAACTCTATCTAGAAAATAGTTAATTTTTAAAGAACTGGTGATATATAAACAATTCTTTTAATATTGTTCGTGTCATATTGTCATAATAAAGTCAAAAA